CGCCCCCCACTTGCTTTACACCTTTTTGATGAACTTTGGGGCATGTTGTTACATGCTGTAATCTGTACATCTTCACAAAATTTGGCAGTCTTTTAGTTCATATTATAAATCTTTTGCATACAAAAAATCATATTTTTTAGTGAATTATTTTTAATAAAATAAAATAAAGATTTGTCCATGAATATATTGAGTACTTGTTTTGAATAGTCCGTGTGCAAAGTAATTTTCATGTTAAAATTAAAAATACTTTTCATCATCTCAAAAATCTCAAATTTTCTTTGTGTAATCCCCAAAACCTCCTAAATGCATTTCAAACGATTTTTTCAGACAAACTTATAGTTTATATGCTATTTTCTTTACTCTGTCTCGAAATGGGATCAGTCAACTCATCCGATCTCGTAACAACCCCCAAAAAAATCGAATTAAACCTAAATTACTCCTTTTTTTTCTTTCTAGAATGACTAAATTGTAACATGAAACTAAATTTGTTTATCCAAAGTAGCTCTAAGTTCGTAACAGTATACATTTATTTATTATTTAATTTTATTGTTTTATTGACATTTGAACCATGTCTAACTACTATCCATGCCATTCTAAGTTGTAACTCACTCGGGGAACGTGCTGCTCACCTTATGCTATCAAATTACATTACCCACGAGCTGCTCTCTTGCGTGCCTCATGAACCATTTTAATTATATTATTATTATTATTATTATTATTACTTATTTTACATAATTAATTTTAGATAACTTGAAAAGATATGTATTTTTAGATTTTAGTTACTTTTATAATAATAAATAAAGAACAAATTGGAAAAACAAGAAATAAAGTACTTACCCAATCTTCTTTTTTTTCTTGCACTCGGGTTTATGATGAGAGTTAACCCTAATTTTATATACTACAGATAGCAATGCACTTAATAATTTTTATTTAATTAAGTAATGAACCAAAGAATATAGACCAATAACATGCAAAAAATTAGACAAATTCACTTACCTCTCAAAATTTTTCTGGCTTTCTAACTATGCCACAGGAGCCATTACAAATTCATCCAAGTTAGTTGTTAACTTTCCCATGGGAACTAATCTTGTACTGTGAGTGAACTTAAAGATATTCTGTTCAGAATACAACCTTATACAATACATCATTTATGGATGAAAACCTTGACTTTCTATTGGTTATAGGAAATATATAATAAAACGTAAGAGAGAACTATCAAAGAATTGTGAAAGAGAGGATGTGACAGAT